CTCCATGATTGACGCCGATCTGCATGCCTTCATTCTGGGGTCCAAAGTGGTTGACCACCCGGGTCTGGTCTTTGCAGGCATTCGTAGCTGCGGTGTGAATACCCGAAAGCAGTTCGTCGAGCAACGTACGCGAGTCCTTCAAGACAGTCTGCTCAACTGCTACCTGGCTAATCGCACTAGCTCGGTCGGCTTCCGTCTCGTCCTGCTCGGCTTTGGCGAGGCAAAGCGCTCCGAGCTTGGCATTCGCCTCAGCCAGCTGCTTGTCTGTCACTGCAATGGACTCGGCAATCTTTGTCTCCTTCTTTGATATTGTCGTCATCATTTCTTCAGTTGCTTGCGTCTGTTGAAGAGAGCTATGTCTATCTAAAGTTAGAGCATGCCCATGATGAGTTCGTAACATCAGACTCACAAGGTCGCGATGGCGACAACCGAAGTAAGAGTGATCTTGCAGTGCTGGAGCTGATCCGACATGGACTTTACATAACCTTGCTTGAAGAAGCCGACTATTGCGCGATCCCGTAAAGAGAGTTTCCCATTCTCGCTGTGCCGAGTCCAGCGACTGAGGGCGGTCCTGAACCTGTCGCATGACTCTCCGCATGAGGTAGTCGCAAGTTTCGACTGGTTGGCCACAGTCTCACCAAGTGACTTCCACTGAGCGTCGGATACAGTTTGAAGGGAAGCAAGTGCCTGGTCCACAGAGAGCAGATCGTTCCTGAGCGAATCGAGGGTTTCGGGTGCTTCGACGATCTTCTCGATGTCCTCTGATAGAAGGTGTATAGAGTGTACCACCGGAGCGGCGATGCCCACGACGGCAGCTGTAATGCTCAACGGGTCCATCGTGCACGGTGCAGAAATGGAGAAGGACGTTTGTCGTCTCCCAGACTGCCGATTGCTGCCAGACGAGTTGGTGAGGCTGAGACATCAGATCACGTGCGGTTAGGCTTCAGCCGCTGGACGGCAACCGTTGGGCGGCCTCAAGCAAGCCGTGGGCAACTACCTACGGCCTTTTCTGAATCCCTTCCAGCACATAGTGAAATCAGCCGTCGTGCAAGACGGATCGCCAACGATGGCACGGATGTCTACGTCTTTCGGACCGGGGAACCAGGGCGTCGAGGTGGGGTACAATTATGGGCCGATCAGTGCGGAGTTCCACCTGCCGCCGGGTAAGGTTCCTGTGGCACCGTGCGGGCCGATGGGACGTCCCGCCCGCTAACGTTAGATCTCAGAAAGACGGGAAACGCCGCCGGTCCCCTTCGCCACTATCCCCTTCTCCCGCGATCCCGATTTCGTCAACCGTGGAGACATTCTCAGCCAGATCGAGCAGCGATGTTCCGTGCCCGCCGCTCGCGTGGCCCTCGTTGGCCTGGGCGGTGTCGGCAAGTCACAGCTGGCCATCGAGTTCGCTCACCGAATCGACGAGGGACAGGCTAGCACGTGGGTGTTCTGGGTCCACGCCGGCACGCAGGCGCGCGTCGAAGAGGGCTTCAGGACGATTACCGACGCTGTCAAGCTGCCCGGTCGGAACCAGCCCAGGGCCAACATCCCGCAGCTCGTGTACGGCTGGCTGTCCAACGAACGGAACGGTAGATGGATCATGATCCTCGACAGCGCCGACGACCCCGACGTATTCTACGCCCCGACTAGCAGCGACGCGCGCGCCGGGCGGCCATTTGCAACGTACCTACCACAGAGTCGAAACGGATCGGTTGTCATCACAACACGCAATAAGGATCTGGCTTTCCGGCTGACTGGACGCCGTCAAAGCATGATCGAAGTCGGACCAATGGCGCAGACGGACGCCCTCGCGCTCCTAGAGAAGAAGCTAGGATCGCTCCCGGATACCGACGTGGCGGCCGACCTCGTACGCGCACTCGACTTCGTTCCGCTCGCCAT